CAAAATGGCTGTGCCCTCCAGATAGCAGAAAGTCCACAGCTCAGGTTGTCTCCCTCCTTGCTGTATCCCTTCCTAGTCATAGGTCATCAGAGCAGCTGTCCCTGCAGCCCTTGGTGATTGGGGATGATCTTTAGGTCAATTCTCAGGTCCCAACACCACTTGGAAATATTCAGGCTGTTAGTCTCATCAGAGTAGCTGACAGTGCGCAGCTCTGACTGTCTCTGTACTCACTATTTTCATTTAGGTTTTTCTACTAGTTGGTGCCTAATCCACTTCTGTATAGTTCCTTTCAAAGCTCAGGGTTCCAGGATTATCTTCTGTAACTCTTGTCAATTGGTTTTTCTTTTCTTGTTGAAGAGGGTCTGTGTTGCTTGTCTGCCCATTCCTCCATCTTCTAGTTCACTTTATTTTTAGGATGTATCCACCAGGGATGTATAGTCAAATTATTGTTACCAAATTCCTTGAAATAATTCCTTGCTGTGTGATCATGTTATGAGTCTAACTATACTAGTTCCAGAGGTGCAAGCTGGATTCAGAAGAGGATGTGGAAGAAGGGATATCATAGCTGTTGTCAGATGGATCTTGGCTCAAGGCAAAGAATACCAGAAAGATGTTTACTTGTGTTTTATTGACTATGCAAAGCCATTTGATTGTGTGTATCATGACAAATTATGGTAACATTGAGAAGAATGGGAATTCCTGAACACTTTATCATACTCATGAGGAACCTGTACCTTGACCAGGAGGCTGTCGTTCGAATGGAACAAGGGGACACTACATGGTTTAAAATCAAGAAGGGAGTACGTCAGGGTTATATCCTTTCCCCATACTCATTCAATCTATATGCTGAGCAAATAATCCGAGAAGCTGGACTATATGAAGAAAAACGTGGCATCAGGATTGGAGGAAGAATCATTAACAACCTGAGATATGCAGACAGTACAACTTTGCTTGCTGAAAGTGAGGATGACTTGAGGCATTTACTGATGAAGGTTGAAGAATACAGTCTGCAGTAAGGATTACATCTCAATATAAAGAAAACAAAAATCCTCACAGCTGGACCAATGAGCAGCATCACAATACATGGAGAGAAGATTGAGGTTGTCAAAGAATTCATGTTGCTTGGTTCTACAATCAATGCCAATGGAAGCAGCAGTCAGGACATTAGACGTCATGTAGCATTGGGAAAGTCAATCGTGAAGGAACTATTTCCAGTGCTGAGGAGCAAGGATGTCTCCTTGAGGATTAAGGTGCGCCTGACACAAGCTATGATATTTCTAATCGCCTCGTATGCATGTGAAAGTTGGACAATGAATAAGGAAGACCGAAGAAGAGTTGATGCTTTTGAGTTGTGGTGCTGGCAAAGAATGATGAAAGTACCATGCACTGCTAAAAGAACTAACAGATCTGTCCTAGAGGAAGTGTATCCAAAGTGTTCCTTGGAAGTGAGAATGGCCAGACTTTGTCTCACCTATTTTGGTCATATTGTCAGAAGTGACCATTCCCTGGAGAAGGATGTCATGCTTGGTAGGGTGGAGAGTTGATGAAAGAGGGGGAGGCCTTCAACGAGATGGGTTGACACAGTGGCTGCAATGATGGGCTCAAGTATAGCAGGGATCATGGAGCTGGTGCGGGATCAGGCAGTGTTTAGTTCTGCTGTGCATGGGGTCGCTATGAGTCGGAAATGACTCAACAGCACCTAACAACAACATACTAGTTTTGTTCCTACTTTTTAGAAACAGGGAATCTTCTAGTTTTTAGAAACTGTTTAACAAATTTTTAGATTTAAGTTTATAACATTTATATGATTTTAAATTCTATATATATTCAAAGAAGTCTAGCTTCTATCCAGTCCCTTCTACCCTAAATCCCTCTTCCCCTAGCAGTAACTGTTTTTCTAAAAAGATTTATCTATTTAAGAAATATAAACAAATAGTTAATATCAACTTCCACTCTTGTTGACAAATGGTAGCAGACTAAACATACTTTTTTCACTTAATATAGACTGCAGATCAGTCCATACATTACATAGAGATCTTCCTCATTCTTTGTAACAGCTGTGGCTGTATTCTAGTTTACTCGATCAATCTCCTTTGATAGACATTTGGGTTGTTTCTAGAAACAATGAAGCAATGAGTAGTCTTGAAGTGGAACTTCTGGGTCAAAAGTTAAACATATATATGATTTTGGGATATATTGCCAAGTTCCCTACCAGAAGGGTAGTACTATTTTGTATTTCCTCCATCAATGTGTGTAAGTACTTATTTTCCCTCAGCTTTGCCTACAGAATATGTTGGCAAACTTTTGGCTTCTTGCCAATCAGAAGGCAAGGTGGTGGTATCTTAGTGTAGTTTTGATTTAGACTGCTGTTATTATGTGTTACTTTGAGTATGTTTTTATATGTTAAGAGCCATTTACATTTCTTTTTGTGTGAATTGTTTGCTTGTCTCTCTTGCCCATTTTTTTTTTCCTATAGGGTTGTGGCTTTTTTCTTCAGTATTTTCACAAGTTCCTTTTAAAATAGGTTTATTACCCTATTGTGATATAAATTGTAAATATTTTCCCTCAGTTTGTCACTTGTAGTTTTATTTTCTTTATGGTAATTTTTGTCATATAAAAGTTTACTTTTAGGTTATCAGTTTTTTCAGTCTTTTCCTTCATTGCTTTTGAAATTCTGAATCATAGCTAGCAAAGAATTTTCTTCCTTTATTGAGAAATTCACCTGTATTTTTTCTAGTGTTTGCATGGTTTCATTTTCCAATATTTAAATCTCAGATCAATTTGGAATTTATCCTGTTGTATGGTGTAAGGAGTTCCTGGGTGGTGCAAACGGTTAACCATTGTGTGGAAGGCTAAGCAAATGGGTAAGTGCTAATATATTAACTAAAAAGTCAGTGGTTCAAACCCACTGGAAGATGCCTGTGAAGTAAGCCCTGGTGCTTTACTTCCAAAAGGTCACAGCCTTGAAAACCCTGTGGGGTGCAGTTCTACTCTGCACATATGGGGTCACCATGAGTTGGAATCAACTCGATGGCAACTAATGACAATGACATGGTTTAAGGAATTGATATAATTTATTTTTTTCTACCTTTATCCCAACTTGATTTGTTAGGAAATAGATCATTTCCCTACTTATCTGAGATAGTTTTATCGCATACTAACATGTTTCCTACCACAAAAATCAAAGCTAAGACTAGTCAACACCTATGAGGAATGCATGAAAATTCTTTGCATTGTGTGGGAAACTGGGCTACAGGACCTTAACGATTTTTGTTCCTTTTTTGTAAAGACTAAATTCTGACACTTTGTATTAGTTGGGTAATTTGTGTTTGGTTGACTTGGGTGGAAGTGGGTGTGGTGCTTATTTTTTTTCCAAATAGTTTTACCCATTGTTTATTAGAGAGCCAGCAGCCTGAGACCCTTAACCTGAATCACCAATTGCTTTAATTACCGTGATCCGGTAACAATGACTCAAATGTTTTTGTAATGAGATGTTTCTGAGTTCTAAAATTAAATAAATGACTGAAGACTGATTGCCTGAAGTTGTAAAATTAATGCTATAATAACAAAATTAATACTCATTACAATCTACCTCTTACCTCAAAAGGTTTCTCTTAATGACCCCTACCCCCCCATTTATCAAAATGTTTGCAATGACAGGCATTTTGTTTCAGATTGTGCAATAAATATTCACAGTGACTGGATAAGAAAAAGACCAGCAATGTTCAGGAAATTGGCAGAGTTTCCGAGTCCTGCTAGCACAGGGCAAAAGTTAGAGGGTGGAGCTGTGCACTGTGTATAAGAATTGTTTGAAATCAAGCCTTGAGGTAGGTTTCCTTCTTCTGTATAATGATTTTAGTTTTTAATTGTGATTTGGGTGAAAGGTTAGAGCAAATTGGTTTTCCAGTCAACAATTCATAAGTACTTTGTTTTGTGATATTCTGTATAAAGATTTTAAATGGAATGTTTATTTGCTTGTGGATATTTCTAGTCACCTTTACTACTCTGTTATGGAGCTCTGGTGGTGTAATGACTGCTAAGCAGAAAATCGGCAGTTCAAACCCACCAGCCACTCTGCAGAAGGAAGACGGGGCAATCTACTTCTGTAAAGATTTACTGCCTCAGAAACCCAAGGGGGGTCGCTATGAGTTGGAATTGACTCGATGGCAGTGAGGTTTTTTTTTTTTAACCACTCTGTTGCAATACCGTAAGAGGTATTGATGATGGCAGTTTATTCCTGACTGTAACAGAACATGACAGAAAGATTGTTCTAGTCAAGAATAGGTGTTTTTTTTTTGGTATAAATTTATAGCTGTAATAATTCCCATCCTGACCACTGGGTCAGGTCCTCATAACCATGAACCTTCAAGGCAGGAGGTTTAGAAATTTTATTTATGGAAATCAAGGAGTCACTTCACCATGGATTTTAGTCTCTGGGCAGGATGGGTCCTTAAAAGTAGAGAGGAAGAATATAAATTACATTCCCAAACTAGGAAGTCCACTTCTCAAAGCAGCTTGTCTATATGCCTTCACTGCAGAACACTTTCATAAACCCCCAATGAATAGCAGTGTATGTAATGTAAAGAGTATAGAATTATTTTTCACAAATAAAAACAAAAAACCCACAAACTCTCCCCCCAGGATGAATAGACAGTCAACTTTCTGGGAGGTAAAGGGAACAGTCTGCCGAAAAACTGAGGGGTAGATTGTATGACCTCTTGTGGTCCCCTTCCACCCAATGTGTCAGTGAGAAATACAGTGAAGAAGGTCTGGGTAATAAACTAGTAACCTTCAATAATGAGAAACTCATTTAAGAGAACCTGTCAAAAAGGCATGTGCTTTTTCAAATAGTTATTTGAAATCAACTGCCTCCAAAAGATTTTCTGTGGAATGTGGATGGTCTTAAGTTACACCATAATCAAATGCTTAGTTTCTTATTGGGGGCGGGGGGGGGGGGGAGAGATGCCTATTATTTATTTATTTATTTTAAAAAAGCTTACTCTCTCTTTTCTCTAGAAGGTTTTCAAAATAGGCTGCTGCAAAAGCTGGTATATTGTCCGGTTGTTCCCTCAGAATCTCGCGTGTCAGCCCTTCAAGAAGATTCCCAAATCCTTGAGGAATTCGGTAGTGGGTGTTGGAGAATGGAATCGACATCTCTTTGGAAGGAACTGCCTATTGTACCTAGAGATTCATTAAAGAGTACTATCTTTATATATGCATGATTTTACTTACATAATCAAAACTATGACAACAAATTATTTCTGAGACCCAAATTTTGTAGATTTCAATTCTTTCTTTTCAACACAACACCCATTTATTCCAAATAGTTTTGAATTCTTTGTTGTTAACTGTTGTTATGTGCCGTTGAGTCAGACCTCTCCTTGGGTTTCCGAAGCAGTATCACTAGGGAACGAGATTGCCCAACCTTCCTTTGGAGGAGGAGCTGGTGGGTATGAACTGCCAGCCTTCTAGTTAGCAGTAAAGTGCCTTAGGCACTATGCTATCAGAGCTCCTACAAATACAGAAGCATTTATTAGGCCACATAGCTTTTTTTTTTTTAATTAGGAAAATCAGATTTTTCACTATGACACTAAATACTTTTTCTCTCCACCCTTCTTTCTATTCTTAAGAGGAGAGGGTCATTTTTGCTATCTCACAGGTATTTTGAAAGAATGATTAAAAACTTTGTTTAATTAAATTCATTATAAGTTGCTAAAAAGACCCTGTTTAGGAAACGAGGCCGATAGTTATGCCTAAAACAAACAAAAACCATTTTAAAAAGTAGTAATTACTCCTGGTTCTAGTAATTCCTCTAACTTGCTGAATGAAGTTTTACACTTCATCGTTTCCTTAGCTTTCATTCCTGAACCCCGACCTATAAGGTCAGGGTTCTAAGCACCTATTAATTCCGCAATGTCGCAGGAGGCAAGATCATGATTTTGAAAGCCTAGTCTCTAAAGTTTTGGGGCCTTTTATTTTTTGGTTTTGTCTTGACCAGGTCTTCTCGTCCTTTCTTGGAATTTGAAGGGATGATTAACGCTAACTGCCAAGGAGCGCGTTAGGCTAACGAGCATGAAAAGAACACTTAGGAACCCTGTCTGTTTGTGAGAATGCGGAATAAAAGCGGAGACCCAATCTGTGGAGGTTTTTTTTTTTTTCTTCTTCTTTCTTTTTTTCCTTCCCCCGAGGGTCAGAATATGAGGAATTGAATCAAGCTAGGATTGTGAAAAGGACTGGTGAGACCTGAACAAATCTAGCGAGTGGAGCGCGGGCAGAGGAGAAGACCTGGTCGGTGGCCGGAAGTTGACGACCTGGGATTTCAGGCCTTGGGTGCTAATCTGTACCAGGATTCTTGGGGGTATACAGGGGATCCTAAGAGAACACGAGAGACGGATGGAAAAGGCGAGGTCTTTGTTCTGGAGAGAAAGTGGGGAAGCCACCTCACCTCTTTTCTCTCTCAGAGCTGGTGCCGATGGTTCCGGTTGTTTTTTCTCGTTGCTAGGTAACTTTTTTTATTTCCCTTAACTACGGCGGCTGAGAAGGGGAGAGGCACGGCCTCGCCCTGCGGCCGCGGGCAGCTTCGCGGATACGATGGCCTGGGAGGGGTGGAGTCAGGTCTCTTGCCCCGTCCCGCCCCCGTCCCCTGTGGGCCACGCCCCATCTAGCGTCCAGTTCCGGAGTCTCGCAAGTTGGTGACGGATCACAATGGTGCCAGGATTGGTACTTGGGGTAGTTATGCCTTTAATTTTGTGGGCCAGCAGAAGTACAGGTGAGGGCCCAGACATCTGCTCCTCAGCTTGCGCCTGCTCCGAGATCCGTGTCCTCTGCAGGACCCTGTCCGGTTCTCTCAAGATCGGGGAAGGAACCCGGACCAGGAGTCGGGATCTCGGAACCACTTAAGCTGCAGTGGGCCGGATCCCCGGCCCTTTGGCTTTCTCCACTCCCCCCCACCGTTCTGCAATGCGGTCCTTTTGCTTGAGCGTGTCGAGGGCAGAGAGAGTTGGGGCTTTCTGAGGGTGGAGGTACAAAAGTGCACAGACCGAGGCCCTTAGGGTCTTTGAGCAACTGCAGGGGAGTTGAGAGTGGAGGGGGCGAAGCAAATTAGTTTCTATTTGGAAACAGGTGACTGAATCATCCAAAACATTTCATTGCTGCCCACTAAGTGGTGCCCTTGGGGAGGGTTTGCTTCAGGCTGGGTTCCTTAGGGGAATAAAATTTTACTAGTTTAAGTGGTGATTAAAAGCTAAGAAATACAACCCCCTCACTGGTTCAGAATATTTAAGGCTCAGCTTTGATTTCTGGTGCAGTTACAGATATTGGTAGTGGGAAAATATACATGGCATTGGAGGAAAGAGTGATTGGCATTGGGCTGTTGGTTAGGTCAGATCCTGTCATTTGAGTACCCTCTTTCTCATAATAGGCAGGCTGGACAAGTGGGTCATGTGCATGGAGAAACCAGAAGACAGAATCTTATCTGCTAATGTGCAGTAAAGTGATAATGCTGGACTTAGTTATTTATTCAAAACCACTGAAAGAGTGGATCCCAAAGAAATGAAAGTTGCAGTGGGAGAATGGAATGCAGAAAAATAACGGCAGTTCCGCCTAAACTCACTGCTATCAAGTTGATTCCAATCCATAGCGACCCCCATTCGGTTTCTGAGGCAGTAAGTCTTTACTGAAAAAGAGTGCCTCATCTTCCTTCTGCTCAGCGCTAGACTTGTGGGTTTGAACCTCTAGCTTTTTGGTTAGCAGTCAAATGCCTTAGGCACTGCGCCACCTAGAAACTCCAGAATGAACCCGGATAGAGACAAACTGCAGTTCATGTTTTCTTTCAGGGACAGCAAACTAGCAGCACTCTGAGGGTATCATTCATTCCCTGACCCTCATATCCCTATTCAGTGACCTTTGAGGTCCATTACATGAGGTAAGGGGAAGGTAAAGGGACATATTTTATTAGTTTACCTATTAAAGGTTGTTAATTTCAGTATCAATAATTAATCTTTGGGTCATGCTGTTATATCACTTTCATTAACATTGACTATATTTTTCATTCATTAATGCTCTAAATTTTTCTTCTTTTGTTGCATCTGCTGACATCAAATCATTTTCCCTCTGCCCATTTTTATCATGTAATATTTGATATGTACAAAAATATATGTGACAGTAAAACAATAAAATGAATGCACCAACTACCTTAAGAACTAGGATATTGCCAGCATTATTGAGGCTCCCTGTATGTTCCCATGCAAGCCCACCCACCAGCTTCGCACCAGTGGTAAGAACTGTCCTAATTTTGCCAGTTCTCTTTTAGTGATAGTCTCTTTCCTGACAACACTAATCCCTATTTTTCTACTCCAGTTCCAAAATGAAGACAAAAAAAAAAAAAAAGGAACCAAAAAATTCAAATGTTAAACGTGTTTTGTGTTTGACAAAAACAATTACTAGCCTTGTGCATCTTAGATTTCTCTCCATTGCATAATTCCTTGGTAATGTTCCATTTTATACCCTTATCAGCTTGGGATTTGAGCTTTATAAAGACAGGGAATATGACCATTCTGTGATTTACCATCAACAACTGGCAGAATGGGAATTACGATAACTTTGGAATCAGGTGGCTTGGTTTCTACCTATGTGGTTTGAAACCAGTCGAATAAGCTTAATAGCTGCAAAATTGGTAGTTCAGTGGTAGAATTCTCGCCTTCCAAGCGGAGACCCAGATTCAATGCCCAACCAGTGTACCTCATGTGCAGCTACCACCCATCTGTCAGTCAGAGGTGGATGTGTTGCTATGATGATAGGTTTCGGTAGTACTTGCAGATGAAGATGGACTAGGAAGAAAGACCTGACGATTTATGGAACACACACCAATAGTGTGTTTAGCACTGTGCCTGCTACATGTAAACTTCTCAGTGGAATGTAAGGTTCCTTCTGGCAGGGAGTTTTGTCTTTTGTTTGTTTCTTTCTTTCTTCTCCCTTCTCATTGTTAAGTCCCTAATGCTTAAAATACTGCCTAGCATAAAGTGGGCATCAATAAATATTTGTTGAATTAATTAACAAATACGATAGCTATTTTTTACAAAAATGCTTAGTGTTCCTTGAATTTCAGTTTCTTGATCAGTAAGTAATGAAGATTATGCTCATGAGAGTGAAAGATCTTTTGCATCTCTAAAATCCTTTACCTAGAATGGAGACATGCAATGAAGAGGTTCACTAAGTGTTTGTTGTCTGTAACAGTGACTTGTGGTCCTTTGAGGTCCATTATATGAGGTAGGGAGAAGGTAAAGAGAGTAGGAACATATTTTATTAGTTTACCTAGTGTGTGGCCTGTGGCTATGGGCCACTTGCTGCACATATCTAGAGCTCTTCCTTTGCATGGATTCTAGGCTCACATGCAACCCCTGGCCAGTTTTCCTCACTCCATTCCCCTACCTTTTCCTTACTTTGCTCTTATGCCTTTTTTTTTTTTTGTTGTTGTTGTTCCATATAAAACACCTACCCAAGACAAGGCCCTCTCACAAATGTGCCTCTCCATATTTTCCTCAGCAGGCTGCCAATACACTTATGCTATTCTGGGTGTTATAGTCTCTTCTTGGAGCATTTTGCTTGTGGTACCTGTACATCTCCAGCCCAGTAGGTCTTCTGGGTGATGCTTGATTGTCATAGATTTTTCATCATGGCACTAGTTAATAAGAGAGCTGAAGAATATTAGGGACTGGGCTGATACTCAAAGAGCGGATATTCTTGATAAATAGGCCACTGAGAGAGTATATGTAGACTTCATTAGCTGTCTGCCTTGTTAAGTATAGCCTTCGGGATCGCCATCATTTGTTGCTTTCAGGGAGGAAAATGTCAATCTTGTTAATTCTGATTCTCTTTCCTATTATTTTTGTTTAAAAGTGTCTGTAAAAATCTTCATTTTGTTAATTATTTTCTTCTAAGGATTTTTGTCTTTTTGTATTCAGACATGTTGGGATGTAATTTAAGAAGCTTTATTTTTTTTTCCCTTGTTAAGTTTTGATGAGGAACTGACTGAGATACTTTGGATCTATGCTTGTCATTAATAAAATAATTCAATGTAGGCTATATGTTAAAAATAGGAATGGTCTTGTTAAAGTGAGTTCCTATTCAGGCTTGCTAGTGAGCCTCTAGAATAGAACAGTGCTTCCTCTTATTCTTTTTGTGTAATTTAGCTTGTGAAATTGGTTAAAATTGGGGCAAATAATCCTTGGTCTATTTTTTTTTTTATCTTTTATCTCTTTCTTACCTTATTTTTGTCTTGGTTCATCCACATTCACCTTAGAAAGAAGCAGATTTATCATATTCACAAGTGCATATTTAGAATTTTTAGTGCATTTCACTGGATTGTCAGATAAACAGGACAAGGGAACTACGTGAGGGAAATTGACACTGGTAGGTGGGAAAAAGGAAGATAAAGAGTGGGAAAAGGAAGATTAGAAAAGGCTGTATGACATAGAGGCATGCTTCTTTATCCCCAGCTACTGGGAGTGGGAGTGGTAATGGAAAGTCGAGGAAGGAAGTGGTTTATTTTTCTCATAAACACCATCTGTGGGGTGTGTAAAAGGAGCATTTTAGTGATTTGGGAGGAGAGAGACAAGCATTTAGGGCCAAGCCTAAGAGTAAAGGAAGATCAAGAGCTCTGAAGGCTGGAGGTTTGTGGTGCATGGGTTATATACTACACTCTTTGAGTTTTCATTATAGATCATCTTGTACAATGATGTACATTTTTGGAAACTATTCTTGTTATGTTGCTTCCCTAATTAGGAATAAGATCTAGTTTTAGATGAGTGAAAAGACTGGGTATATTCAGACTCTCTTGTACAAAGAGAATTGTGGTTTCATCTGCATAGTTGTTGATGAATTTCGTGATGACACCCTTCTAAATGTTTGCTACATTGTGTAGGTGTTGATTTTCGCTTTGCTTCATACATTGGTGATTACATGGTGCTGCAGAAGGAGCCTGCTGGAGCAGTGATCTGGGGCTATGGCACACCTGGAGCCACAGTGACAGTGACTGTGTACCAAGACAAGGAGACTGTCATGAAGAAAGTGACCAGTGTGAAAGGTAAGGCAGCACAGCTGCTGTTCAGCTATTGTCTTTGTCTGCCACCTGCTGGCTTATCTGAAAGTGAGTGCTTGTGCTTTGAGTATTTACCATGAGCTAGGCACTGAGGATGGAGTTCCTGGGTGGTGCAAACAGGTTAACACCTGAACTGTTAACTGAAAGGTTGAAGGTGTCTTGGAAGAAAGGCCTGGTGATCTACTTCTAAGGAATTAGCCACTGGAAACCCTATAGAGTACAGTTCTACTCTGGCACACATAAGGGCACTATGACTCAGAATTGACTCAAGGGCAACTGATTAGACACTGAGGATACCAACAAATATAAGACTAAGTCAAAGGTCCTGTCTTCAAGCAGCTTATGGAATAATGCAAATAGATAGACACTAAAGCATATAGTGCAGTGTGATAAAAGCTTTGTTGATGGTGTATATAGGTTGTCATGAGATACTGAAGAAAACATCTAACTCGGATTGGGTGGTCACAGGTTTCCACAGAAGGTGACATTTGAGCAGAATCATTTATAAATAAGAGGTAATATGTAGAAGTGGTTAAGAACCTAGGCTGTGGAATTCATTGGATTCAGATTCAGTCAGAATTCTGTCACTTAGTGGCTGTATAACCTTGGAGATGTTATTTAATCTCTCTGTGCCAGTTTCTTCATTTGTAAAGTGGAGATCATAATTATTGTGAGGATTAAATGAGTTAACATATGTAAAGTACTTGTAACAGTGCCTGGCATGTGATAAGTATGTAATAAATGTTAGCTGCCATTGTTATTATTATTAGTAGTAGTATTTAGTCACTCAGATATTTATTGAGTGCTTACTATGTGTCATGTGCTATGCTAGGTACTGGCAATACAATAATGAATAAAACAGATAGGATCCAACCCCTAATGAAGCTCACTGGTTAGGGGAGGGCACAGAAAAATAATAAACAATAATAAGCAAAGTGATAAGTGCCACTGTAGTGAAACATAGAGTACTCTAGGAGCTCTGGTAGCATAGTGCCTAAGGCATTTGACTTCTAACCAGAAGGCTGGCAGTTCAAACCCACCAGCCACTCCTCAGAAAGAAGGTTGGGTAATCTACTTCTGTAGTGATACTGCCTCAGAAACCCAAAGAGGGGTCACTATGAGTCGGGTCTGACTCAATAGCACATAACAACAACAACAACTAGGACCACTTAGTGTGGATAATTAGTGTAAGGCTTACCTTAAAAGAGAGTGGGGAAGAACAGATGGAGGGAATAGCAGGGAGACGTGAGCAAGCATGGGTCATTGCAGAAATGACAAGCAAGTTGGTTTGTAAGGAATGCTGGGGTACGTTACTGGTTGTAGATGATGGGAGATGAGGTTGGAAAGGTGGGGATGCTTGATTATCAGTGCTAAGGAGTGTAGACATTGTTCTAGATTGATGGATTTTAAGCAGCAAAGTAGCAATAACAATAACACAATCAGATTTGTATTTTAGAATGATCCCTTGGAAGCAGTTCTCTGGATTGGAGATTGGGAAGTCTAGAAGTAGATTGGCTGGCTGGCTATTATGCTACCAGGCAACAGATTATGGGAGGGCCCAGAATAATGACTGTGAGGATGTTCAAGAAGGACAGAATTGGCAGCCTTCTTAGCAGGGAGGTTCTATAAGGGGGTCTCTGTCTAAAGGAGATAAAGATGTATAAGTTAGTATGTGTGAAGGCAAAGCTAGATATTACTGGATGCAGGAAAGCGTGTTCAGGGCTCTATCAGGTGGAGACCTGATTATAGCTTAGATGTATCTACATAGTTGCAGGATGTAGAAGTGAAGGTGAGACAGGTGAGAAAGCTGGTAGGGTTAGTGTTGGAACTGGTGGTTTGAACAATGACTTGAATATATGTGTGACAAGGAGCTCTGGTGGTATAGTGCCTAAGGCATTTGACTGCTAATCAGAAGGTTGGTGGTTCAAACCCATCAGCCACTCCACAGAAGGAATATTGGGCAATCTATTTCCATAAAACTTTACTGCCTCAGAAACCCAAAAGGGGTCACTATGTGTTGGAATTGACTCGACAGCAGTGTGTGTGTATCTTGTGAAAACTGGCTTCTGAAAACAGGGATTGCCGGGTTAGTTTTGTTGATATTTAATACTGATATCCAACCCAGAGTGATCTGCCCCTGGTGCAAGCTCTTCATGATTCATTTCCTTTCAGCAAACATTTAAAAATACTAGGTGTAGGCATTTTAAAACACTAAACTCAGGATATCTAGTTCTTGATTTTTAAGACTTTCTTTTATTTTTTATTTTATTTATTGTGATTTGGGTGAAAGTTTACAGAGCAAATTCACTTTCCGTACAGCAGTTCACATACACTTTGTCTCATGACATTGACTACAATTTACCCCAATGCAACAACTCCCCTCCCACTTCCTCCCAAGAGTTACCTCTTCCCTGTGTCCATCCCTCCATGCACCCCTGCCCCCTGAGCTGTCTACCTGTGCATAAACAGCCCTTTTTTCTCCCATGATTGTTCTCTCCAAAGAGTGTATCTACCTCAGGTAAATGTTCAACTCATGTCTTTTGTTGAGCTGGATATTTTCTACTTTTCTTTTCTTTTTTTAAATTGTGATTTGGGTGAAGATTTACAAAGCGAATTCACCTTCCATACAGCAGTTTACATATACTTTGTCTCATGACATTGACCACAGTTTACCACAATGCAATGTTCCTCTCCCACTTCCTCCCCATAGTTACCTCTTCCCTGTGTCCATCCCTCCATAGACTACTGTCCCCTAAGCTGTCTCCCTGTGCATAAGCAGCCCTTCTTTCTCCCATGATTGTTCTCTCCAAGGAGAGTATCTACTTGAGGTAAATGTTCAACTCATATGCCTGTCTTTTGTTTGGCTGGAAACCACAGGTGTGGGTTCAATTCCAGACCTGAAGGGCAGTTAGGGGCTATAGTCTCAGTGGCTCCACCAGGCTCTATCAGACCAGCAAACCTGGTCCCCCCCCACCCTTTTTATTTGCTCCAAATGATTTTGAGTTTTGTTCCACATTGTTCTCCCTCTCTGTCAAGGATCTCCTGTATAGATCCCCTATTTTAAGACTTTCTTAAGATAAGAATGTTAATGGGTAAAATTAACAGACCTGAGAAGCTCTAACTGATTGAGAAATGGGTTTCCATTAGGTGCAAAAGCTCTTGGAGACTTGCAGAATGTAAAGGAAGTGAAGAATTTAGGGGACTTGCAGTGCTTTCTGTTTGTGCTACTCCATTTTAGAGATGAGCAGCATAGTGTACTGTTAGTAGTCATCTCAGTAAATGATGTTGATTTCAAATCCAAAGAACTACTGATTTTGAAAATAAAAAATGGATTTTCTTAGTACAAATAATCTATGTTACCAATACATTTTTAGGAGACAAGAAACTACAAATTATTGTAGAGATAGAGAAAACACATAATTTCATATAACATTTAATTTAAAAAATGTTCTTTTACATTATTTTTAGAGTTCACCCCTCCTTATGGCTGTTTCAGGATTAACATTTAGGGTGGGCAGAGATGCGGTAGGAGGGTAGGTGGTGACAAGCAGAAATACAAGGTAATTAAGGGATGAGCCTCCCTTTTCCTTTGCCGTGATTGTGATTCTGCTCACTTATTTTGAGTTCAAGTCTATAAACATTTATTGAGAGCTTACAATGTATAAAAACACTGAACTAGAAACTGGGAAATATGAAGAATACAAATAGTATCAGGCCTTCAGGAACTCACTCTCTCACTCTATCCTTTCACATTTGTTAATTCAGGTTCAAGTAATATCCTCATTGCTTCATTACAGAGTGATGGATGATTTGAAGTAACCAGCAGCAGCTTAAGAGAATCCAGTGATTCGTGGACAACTGATGATAATTTCACAGCAAAAGGGGTTGCTGGAGTAGTTCTACATAACAAGCTTTCCACGTTGGCGTGGTAGAGAAGAAAGACATTTTCGTTTATGTAGATTCACCAACCAGCTTCAGTGGGCATCTTGCTGTGTCCCTTTCCCACCCATGATGCAAAATGAATGAAATGTTATTTGCAACACAGGCTGTAGACATGTAGGAAATTCCATGGGGCAAAAAGAAAATGCCTCTCAAAGGCGACACTGTGGGGATATTGAAGGGTTGACTTTTGTTTTAGATTTTGATGAGGACTCTAGGATTTTCAACCATCTTGTCTCTATTAGCTACCCTGTCTGCTTCTGTTAATATTTAATTTATTTCTTATAATCCTCTAGCTGCCCAGAACAAAGAGGGACTTATGAAGGTTTTTACCCAGCAGATTGATACATGACCCCTGGGAAAATTAAGAGCCCAAGATGAATGGGAATATGGCCAAGTACTGGGTCTGTTCAAATTGTGTTGCTGAATGATATGGGATGACCTTTTCAAATACAAGAATAGAATCAGAAGAATAGGGTAAATCTCATTTTGACATACATGTGGGTATGTGTATGTGGGTAATAACATGAGGGTATGTCTATCTGTGTTTGTCATTGTGCTTGATGTAAATAGATAAAATTAATTTAGAAAAAATGCCTAAGTGCCTACCTAACCCCCTGGTTGCAGTGGTAACATTTATACTACTTTCTGTGCTATATAAGATTAGGTTAAACGATTAGGTATGTCTATGAAATGGGGAGTGTATCCAAGA